ATATATATATATATATATATATATATATATATATATATATATATATATATATATATATGCGTGTACGTATGTGTACGTATATACGTACACATACACATACACAATGCGCGTTCGCGCATCCGTTCGTAGTGTATTACGCCCATCAGAAGATCGCTTCTATAGCACGCAGCATTGGCACAGACGCGCCGCAAATAAAGCAACGAGGTGCGCTCGGTGGAGGGTAAATGTGCTAAGTGAGAATCCGTACATGGCACCTGATACTGAGAATTAGGAAGCCGCTATTCTGTCGCGCTGCGATCGTTCGATTATCCTTGCATTTCAGCTACCCGGAGAGTAGTCCATATTCTCGAGATTTTGGCGTGTATACGTAGAAGTTCTTTTGCGCGGGCACAGTCGTAACGTAAAATAGCCGCGCAATGGAACTTACGTGTACGCAAAAGTCTCGAGAATACAGCCATCAAGGGACCGTTTTTATAGTTCATAGCTTCGTAGCTTTGAGCGCGCGCGAGTCGATTCGTCGTCGACGAATCCACATCGATGATCCTACTTTCCGGTTCTCACACCTCCACGCCCAACACTCGGTCAACCACGTATTCATATCTCTTTGGCTCCCCGTTGTTCTTCTCGATGACGCTCTCGTCCTCGCCGTTCTCCGAACTCTGCGCGTTCGACTCCGTCGTCGTCGTCGTCGTCGTCGTTATCATCGTCGTCGTCGTCATCATTGTTGTTGTCGTCGTCGCCGCCGCCGCCGCTGCCGCCGCTGACCGACTCTTAGCGGACACAGACTTGCTCGTGGCGTTGCTGACGACCGAGACGTCCTCATCGGCATTCGTCGCCGACGCAACGATGTTACTCGCGTTTCGCTCCACCGTCACACCACCGCCACCACCACTCTTCGAGGCCGAGGACGACGCGGAACTGCCGCTAGGAACGCTATTCGGCCGTGTCGTCGAGTTCCCGATGTAACTATTGTGAGTGGTGGTGGTCACGGGTTCGGACGCGTACCTCCTGTGCATATGCGCCTGTGCCATCGTCGGATATACACTGCCGTCGGGCCCGAAGTCCTCGGGCGGCAGAACAGGAACGTTCGAATTCACGCGCGTGAAGAAGGCCATTTTTTCCCTGAAAAGGAGAACGATAATCTTTACTCGCTGCGTACAACGAAATCTCCATTGTTCCTAATAATTACCGCTTATTGCAGTTGCTGTTGTTTGTTCCCTCATAAGTTTATCATTCATTGATCGAGAAAGATCACTTTTCCGCGCAATTTAACTATTTGTGTGTAGTAATGGCTCGACTTTTCAATTAAACATTTCGTCAAACATCTCACTCATGAACGTTTTGCATAGTGCAATGCTTTCAATGAACATATTCTACTATCCATCATGATTTCACTCATTATAATATTCGACATTCTATATTAAAGTATAGTCCAAAATCAGTTACTTACTTGAAGGAGATTATATCGGGTTTTCCTTTCGCAACCTTCGTTTTCCTCAGCTTGTAGATTTCCTTCGAGGTTTTCTTCAGCATTTTATCTACTTTCTTCTCTTCGGCACTCCTGCCGTTCTTGCCGCTCTCGGCCTGCGCCATGAGACTCTGGAACTTGTGATCCTCCAACAGCCAGGTCGCCAAATCGGCATCACCTTTCTCGCGCGCCTGCTCCAACCGTTGCTTCAGTTCCCGTAACCTCGTGAGCTCGTCCTGGAGATTATTCAGTTTGGCATGTTGCGCTTGGAGATCTAATTCGAGGTCCAACGATGTTCTCGCTGTGGGTGGTAGATGAGATGATTTCTTCGAAGTGGTTTTGCAGCTGAGGGCCGAGGACGGCCGACGCCATCGCAGCGAACGTCTCTCCACTGAGTTTCGTTGGAAAGGCCCACCTTTGCGATAAAGAGGCATGCTGCTATCGCTGTCGCTGCGATTAAGCTGTAAAAAACATAAAAGAAAAGAAAATAAGTGAAAGAATAACTAAAGGCACTAGTCTGTCATACAAACTAAAAATTCGTGTTTCGATGCACTGTGATGGAAAATTTTATATAAAACTAATAAGTAGCGAAAGATAGATAAGAGAGTTGTTCATAATTTTATTATCCTAGTATTATTTAATCAAAATGTGAAAAGTAAAAATGAAAAATGGAGATTAATAATGTTTGAGTTGTATGAAGTAAATTAATTTTTCCTGAATAAATATCAAATAATCACGTGATTCGTGATGTCACAATAAAAAATTACCTGAGGATAAGGGCTGAGAGATTCGTTGAAAGAAAAGAACTTACCCGACATATATAATGATTTTTACTGACAGCCGCGCTCGGCGAGAACGTCTGACTCCTTTTGATCACGATGGAATTCTTGTCGTCGTGAATGGCGCCGGGCGCAACGCCGGCCGCGGATAGTTTCCTCTGTTTGCCTTGCTCCGGAATAAACACACACTCGGTGTTCGTTTCCTTGTCTTCCGTTTGCCTCGTTTCATCGTTCAGTTCCTCGTCCTCCTGGAAATAAAAGCCATCTAAGTTAGAACGATTCATCCCCAGAGAAAAAAAGATCAAACTAACGTAACAGTGACAGAACTAAATACATTTTGGTTGAAGGGAACAGGATTTCTGAGAATTCCTAAGAACCGATTTGGTTCCTAAGAGAATTTGGTTTGGAAAAGCTCTTCTCGCTGTATCGGCGAGAGGATTCGAAATGAAATTCTCAAGTAACGTCACTCACTTCGTGCTCCAAAACGTCTTCCAGGACGTTGTCTTCCGTCATGAAATCCTCGGGTATGTCTTCCTCGTTGTTGCTGCCTCCGCTCCCACTTCCACTACCGCTGCCTCCACCCTCGTCTTCCTCCTCCGGACTGCCCAAACAATTGGCCAGCTCCTCCAATCTCAGCGACACAGCAGTCTGCAGCTCGTCGCAGCCTTGATTTCTCGTCAAGGTGGACGTCTGAGAACTGATGATCGTGCTCTCGTCGCTACTCTCCTCCTTTGTATTCTGCGTGTTCCTATATACTGAAATATCTGACTCCTGTTTGTCGTGCTTGGCTTGCCTGACGGCAACATTCGCGGACACGTTGTTGCTGGTGCTAGCGCTAGGACTGTCAGACGGTTGCATGAAACGGAAGGAGAGTATGTTGTACCATTTGACGCTAGGAGATTCTGGGCTGAAGTCTGCCAACGAGACTTGCGCAGAACCCTGTAACCGAATTACGTGTTCACGTTAGAATCAATTTCATGATAAAACGTAATATGTATGAGTGCTCAGAAACTTATAAAGTTTCCGCAAGGATACTAAATTTTTAAGACTCCTGGTCCCTTGTCACGGTTATCTTCATTCACGACATTAGAAGCAAAAAATTCGCTCCACATTCTTGCAAACTATGTTGAAGTAAAAATATATGTGCACAAAATGACACGATCGTTTGAGCAGATTTGTAAAATATTTCGAATACTTTCCTTTCGTTCTAATAATCGTCGTAAAATTAAGTATTAACATGTGGCTGACTTTTAATAAATCGCGTGATTTTACGGCGTTAATTTTAAGCTTTATTGATCGTTGTAGCAAAGGAAAAGTTCGCGAACTATTTTACAGATATGCTCAATCGATCGCAGGTATCACATCATAAACATATCTTTTCCACTTTGACGTATTTTACGAGAACTATTTGCATGCTTTCTCATTCTCACTTTCTCATTTCTGACGTTACTAATCGAGGCGGTGGCGACAAAGGAACCTTCGAAAAATTCGCGCACATACCAAGCATTCCTCGGATTCGTTGCTCGTACACCAGACATTCACTTGCAGCGTCTTCGTGTACAGTTTATTGAGCGGCACAGCGATCGGAAATGTCTCGCCGAAGGTTGGTTTTCGTAGATCCACGACGGCTTTCGTGCAACACATGTGATTAACGGGCAGTTGCATCGGCAGCAAAGCGGCCTTGATGTATCTAAAATGGAGAAAAGGAATTACTCTCACGCGAAAGGGTAGTTTCCCAGAGACTATTGTCCCACATTGTGCGCACACCGATCAAACACGGATCAATCGAAGTTAATTATTCAGTTGGATTAGCTTCGGGTTTGAGTAATCCGATTGCGTGCAGATGGAACTCTCACTAGTTTCCGATAGACTGTTTATTTGCTTGTCATTGATTACTCGTCCATCATTTACTATCAATTATTTTCTAAATGGTTACTCGAACAGAAGCCGATAGTAGTCGAGGGATTCTCTCTTTTTTTCTCTCTCTCTCTCTCTCTCTCCCTCTTTCTTCGATCTATTCATCGATGGAATTGGAGAATGTCAGCTATCATGCGCAAAAGGTGGGTCATCAATCAAACGCTCACGAGTAACTGTACATTAATCTGTCTGTTCTTCATCATCTGTCGAAGCATCGCGCTATTTCGCGAATTTATTGCCATCAGCCAGGTACAATGGTCGAGAGAATGAATTCCCGAGTAAAACCGTATAAAGCTAATTACGAGACTCGATACCGCTGATAATAGCGAGCTCTTACGTAACGAAAGTAAAGGAAGGCGACGACCGGTCGATGATCCAAAGCGCGACAAGAATTTCACAATTACGTTTCAATCGCGGGAACATCAATGGAGATTCGAGTGCGGCCGACCGAGCAGCCAACACGGGTCATCAAGATCGCCGATTACACCCGAATTGACAACAGTCAAGTATATTAGCGCAGATATCAGTTAGAGTTGACCCAATATCTTCACATGAACAAATTACTCAATCACGGCTATCTTGGAAAATAAGGACAAACCTTCACGAACAGCTCGAGCTGCTGGCAATAATTGTACACGTTGGACTTTCTGATATTAACCAATCAGAAATGCAAATGATTGATCTATGTAAATGTGCGTGAATTGAAGTTGCTCACGGATAGAAGTTGAGGTGAACTAGAGTGCACAATCGATTACCATTTAGAAAACTGTATATACAGACAGATTGTCCTTTGGAGAACTACTGATTTGAATACACTATATAACAGGAGCACTTATATAAAATATATATATATATATATATATATATATATATATATATATATATATATATATATATATATAAAAGCTTATATAAGCAAACAAGTATTTAGAAAATCCTTACTCTCATCATTTTCTATTTTGAGCTAATCCCATTTATAGATAGTATTTTTCATAATGTGCGTTATTTGCGTAAGGTATTTAACTTATTATATCATTAATTAAAAAATAAAAGTTTGGTCTATAAGACAATTTTTGAATCTATACACCTATACTTTAGACTATATTCCATTGTAGGATATTTGATTGCTTATGGATAGTCCTAACGTATCGTTTTATATTTTGGTGTAATCAAGAAACTTACACTTCCGCGTTATTGGGTATGAAAAGGGCGGCCAGATTCCTCGCGCGTTCGATGCCAACGTGAAGCAATCCGTCGCTCACTGAATACCTAATGAATGCATTATCGAGTTTAATTTAAGCGCATATTTCACAAGATCCTTACAGTAATACACATAAATCCCACAATAATATAGTCAACGTAATATTGGATTGTTACCTAAGTTCGTAAATATTTTTATGCGAAATTCGATACTTAAGTCTGATCTCCAATATGCTCTTTGCATTCTGTTTCTTGTCTTCTGTCTTTTTCTGGCTTAAAGCCTGATCTACAATATGCTCTTTACGTTCTGTTTCTTGTCTTTTATCTTTTTCTGGCTTAAGGTTTGAGTCAGAAAGAGATAAAGAGAAAGAAGCAGGAAGCAAAGAGCATATTGTAGATCAGGCTTTATAGTTAGACATAACTTTAATCTTTTTCATGACCTTTTGAATAAAAGATGACCGATGTATCAGTGAATAAAGTTATCTCTAAGCTTAGAGTTTTCGGTACAAATTCTTACAGACTTATCAAATAATCCCAATATTACGAATCACGCAAAAATACTATATAAAATCTCTGTTCACTCGTTGATTTTTAGTTCATAGATAAGTAAGCTGAAACACACGCACCTCAGTTTGATCTGCACTTGCGCCGTTTCCAGACTCATCTCGCCTGACGCCAACAGGTCCACGTCGGAGATGAGTCCGGACAGTCTTTTGCGATTGGACGCCTCGAAGACGCCCGAGTCACCGGCGACACTCTCGTCAGATACCGCAGCGGAGACGGATCTGGTGTTGGTGCCAGAGCTACTGGCCCTTGACCTGATCCCGGTGGGTGGTGGCGTCTCGCTGATCGGTGACAAGGGTGGCGGCTCCTGCTGAGGCAATGACGCTGGCAGCTGTATCCCGGGCCTGCCGAGACCGCTGCCCTGCGACATGTTATTCGACTGCAGCTCGACGGGCGGATGAGGACCGACCACGAGCCTCAGACGTTCCTGCGAATTGTTCGAGGAGCACGATGCCTGCTCCTGAGAAACAACTCCCTGTTGCTGCTGTTGCTGACTGAGCCTGAGTTCCGTCAAACGGTCCTCCAGTTGGCTCCCGTCCAGGTGTGGCGCAGCACTGCTCGTTGTCGCCGTAGGCGTCACCTTCTGATGCTGCCGCCTTTGTAGTTCCACCTGCTCATACGTAGGTGGCGGACCTATCGGTGCGTTTTCATACAACGGAGACACCGGAGGGCTCACGCTGGATAAGCTCGAGCGCGGTGAGAGACTGGGCTGAGATCTGCCGGGCGATGGTGTACCGATCAGGTTGTTCTGTTGCTCGGAGCCTCGCAACAGTCTCTCTACGCGTCTGTGCAGGTCCACCATGTCGACCGGTCGCTCCTGTTGCGAGCCACTCGTGCTTAAACACTGTGGGCCGCCGTAAATATCCGTGAAACTCAATCCGGAACTGAGAGAACCCTTGCTGCTTGTAGTGCTGAGACTGCCAAGGCTCGAACTGCTGCTCACTGACAGCGTACTCGCGCTCAAGGTCTTCAGTTGTCCCTCCAACATCGCCATTGAGCGTAGAGCGTCCCTCAGCTGTTGCAACAGAAGCTGTTTCTCTTCGTGCAATCGCACGCGGTCCGTGATGGTCTTGTTCGACAGCTCGAACGCGTTATTGAGGTCTTGCTCGAGCCTGCGAATCTCGCACTGAATTCTCTTCATGTCCTGCTGCGTCCTCGTGCGCGGCGTGATGCTGCGCAGCTCTCTCAATAATTGCTCTTTTTCTTGGAACAGCAGTAATTTATCTTTGTCGCTCTCTGTTTGACCCGGCATTACCTTCTCCTCGAGATCCGCCAGCTGCTGTTGAATATGCTGAATTCTCTTCCTCGCTTCGTCGTATTGCAACCTCATGCGCGCCATCTCGGCCAATCGAGTACCGATCGGCACCAGCTCGCCCGATAAGTCGGTCTGGGAAGCCGTGCTGAGCTTCTCCTGCGGCAGACTGAGCGTGCTAGCTTCCGGACTGCCCTCGCAGAATTGCAACCTCGTCAGTTCGTCCTTAAGTTGCGCCAGCGACTGCATCAGCTCGGCCTTCTCCTTCTCACCGGAGCTTAAGGACTTCTGGATATTACGCAGCTCTGTCATGATCGCCTGCGCTTCCGTGATATTGTAGCAACCGCTATGGTGGCCGCTCAATTTTTGCTCCACGCTGAAAGAGCAATCACAGAAGCGATTACAGGAGAGTCCGATTCTTGCTTTTCTCTTGATAAAATACGTTTAGATAATATTCATAAGTTCTCAAATAATGTCTCAATTCATTAGCCAAATTAAATTAATTAAATAACTCCATATAAAAAAATTAGCGTTGTTAATTAACATTCGTATGTGTAATACCTAGTAAGAGTATCCACTCCTCGTTGCGTGCAGTTCATCTCCGCTCGAATCTGCTCGAGCTCTCGCTTCAATCGAGAAACTCTGCTCCTGGCGAGTGCCACGTCGGATTTCAGCAGATCGGGATCGTATTTGGTACTCAAGGAACTTGAGCTGGAACACACTGCCAATCACAGATATTTGTCAGTACGTTTTATAACTGTCCACCGTAATTGATTTCAATTCCAACAGTCAATTTCACACAATGGAATTTCAATAGTCAATTTATCTCATTGAACGGAACACTATCTGACATTAACAGAACGACAAAATATCTATAAACTGTTACACATAAAAATTTAAGTCAGAAAATTGCTATATAATTGTTAATTAATTTCGAAAAAATTAATACACTAATCATTTTCGCTAAAACAACTGTGCGTCACAAAGGAAGATTCCTTACTCTTTTTTTTTTACCGAATTGTATACTTACAACTTGTACGCGATGCGCCAAGGGTAGATAGGGCGTTATTGAGGTGATTGTACTCATCCTGCGCCAGGCAAAGCCTCTGCTGTTTTATGTCGTAAATCTCCTTCTTTGCCTGTAACACAAGAATTTTACTCTCGTTTATCTCCTTAGAATTACAATCGATTCGTTTTCATATCCATATAGCATAACATTAATCCTCTCATCGATCACTTTTCGGACACACTGAACATGATGGACAGCATGATATCATTTTTCGGTGCAACGAGCGAAACAAATTAATTACAACAACAAACTGCACTTTTGCAAATCGCAACACTACGAACTGGCAATATAGGACCAATCTTATTTTCCAGTGACAATATGTGACCAGTGTTGCAACTGTGACTAGCGATGAAACTTACAACCAACGGTAATTTATTCATCTGCACCACCTGATAATTGCTATAATAGTTTTATTTTTTCCAAGACCCAGTTTATTTCCCGGGTCTGTTGCCATTCCAAAACTATATATTAAATGTAAAAAAAAAAGAGAAGAACCATATATAATTTATATAACGTGGCAAATATATATCACGATATATTAATCTGACAAGTAATCCAATGCACCATCGAAGAGGGTAAGTGAAGCAACACTAAACTGGCAGTACAATTCTATCGGTGGCCCTTGTTGTAAGGATCAAATTCCCTCGCAAGTAGCAACGTCATGGCCATAAAATCTTATAAAATATCCTTTTAAAGAAAAGGAGCTGAAAGTAAAGAGACAAAACAGAAGAAGAAAAGAGAAACATGCAGTTTCACTGTCGCGAAGAAACACGTTCAATGTCACACACAGACAGACAGAGAGTTTGCGCGTTTCACATCCGATCGAGATTCCCGAGGCGAGAGGAATCGGCGCGGCGTATCCACGAAGAACCGACGATAATACCGACAGACATTAGTAGTGGTAGCGCTGGTAGTGTCGTCCTTACGTATTCGCAATAGTAATAGGACGATGCTGTGTTGTCGGCGTCGTCGCGATTGTAGCACTGCTCCCAATAGAATCTCTGTATTTGCTCGTCGTTCTCGTAGTCATTATGGTAGCACATTCTCATTCGATACTGAGACACGACGTTCTCGTAGATCTGTTCGCGCGCGTACTGCTGCTGGGCCGCGCGTTGCAGCTGCTGCTGTTGGTGCTGGTGATAAGTAGGAGGCTGATGTTGGTGCCTGCGTTGCTGGTTCTGCGGCTGATGATGATAATCGTCCACGTAGCTGCGGTACTGGTGCGCCGGTACGAGTACGCACAGGGTGTACTGACGGTCCATGCCGGGTATACGGTGGACTGTGCGCACTATTTCTCCGTCGAGATGCCTTTCTTCCTCTTCTTTCTCCTTCTCCTCCTCCTCCTCCTCCTCCTCCTCCTTCTCCTCCTCCTCCTCTCCTC